TGCTCAAATGCAAAAATTTAATTATTACATCATTACAAAAAAATAATTAGATGCACAACGTATTTTAATAAGTAACCTTAAATTCACAAAATTAAAAAAATATATAAAAATATTAATTTTATATATTTTGGAGGATAATAAAACGATATTGTATGAGAATGTCACAACTCATATGGAGGCGGTTTAATATCAATTTCTTCCGCCTCAAAATGACATTCTGAGGCGGTTCAGTGAACCGCCTCAGAATATTATTTAAGGCTTGCACAGGCGTCAATAACCGCATCACGTACCGCCCCTGAATATATTATTCGAGGCGGTTATACGAACCGCCTCAGAAAGCAAATAACTGATATATACTTAGTCATTTAAAACCTCCTGGAGAACCGCCTCTGAATGTATTTCTGAGGCGATTATATTAACCGCCCTTGAATCTAAAATTGATTCATGTTCTGATAATTGAGGCGCTAAAAGCCGCCTACAGAACCGCCTTTGTATGTAAGTAGGCGATTATTCCAGCGGTCCGTGAGAACCGCCTTAGATTTCCTCTCGACGGTGGTAAACTCGACGGTTTTATAACTGCCTTACAAGGTATATAGAGGCGGTTTAAACCGCCTCCAAAAGCCAAATTAACCGCCTCTAAATGACAATTTTCTTGTAGTGTAAAATAGTAAATATTACCACAAAAATATTGTAGATCAATGGGTGAAGATGGATTGAGAGTTAAGTGAGCGGGATTGCGAAGATTGTTTTCATGCATTAAAAGAACAGTTGATGATTGCTCCAATATTGACCCTTCCCGATCCTTAGCGTACTTTCGAAAGGTTTGGGATGTGTCCTAATGCAGGATAGGAGAGTTGTTGCGCATGCTCCTAGGTAGTTGAAACCGCATGAGGAGAATTACCCTACATATGATCTAGAGCTAGCAGTCATAGTGCTTGCCTTGAAAATATGGCAACACTTTCTATATAGTGTTAGTTTCTTAGTGTATAGCGATTAAAAAAGTCTGTAGTATCTATTTGACCAGAAAGTTGCCATTCAAAATGCATTGTTGGAGAGAATCTTAGAGGCTAAAAAATTTGATACGGATATTATGGCCATGATAGGTCAGAAAGATGTTTCTGTTGATAGTCAGGGCTTTAAATGATACCAAGAAAAGATAATTGTGCCCAAGGGTCAGTTAGTGGATGATGTGTTGACTGAAGCACACAAAGGTTACTCTATTCATCCAGGAGCTACTAAGATGTATCATGACTTAAAAGAAAATTTCTGGTGGCCTGTCATGAAGAATGAAATTGCTAAGTTGTTGCAAAGTGCCTTATCTGTCAGAAAGTCAAAATTGAACACCAGAGACCTGGTGGTTTGCTTCAACATTTGGATATTCCTATATGGAAGTGAGATTGCATTTTCATGGATTTTGTTGTTGGGTTGCCCAGGACTTAGGCTGAATATGATTCTATATGGGTTATTTTTTATAGACTTACGAAGTATAATAACCCTCACATATAGTTGTGGATTTAATTATGAATTAATGGTTTTAATCATAATATTAAAGAATAATTATAAGTAAAGTAGAAAAAAAGAAATAAAGTCACCTTTGGTGAAAAAAGGAGTTAAAATGACAGTTAATAGGTAAAAATGTGGGTATGCAAAGTTACCTGAAAGTGAAAAATAAAATGGTAAATATTACCATAAAAATATTGTAAACCAATTAGAATGATAGTTAAGTGAGCGAGATAGATAAACTTATAACCAATTAGATATAAGAGCCACTTAAAGCACCAAACTATTTTCATTTCTCTCATTCTTTCCTTTCTCTCCCGCGGCGGTCCCTGTCTCCCAAATGAAGGAGAGTTCTTTTTTTTTTCCTTCCATTTTATTTCAATCAAACCCTTAAGGAAATGAAGAGAAATCATTCTCATTCCTTTTCTCCTTCTTATTCTCCTTCCTTTTCCTCATCCCTTCAACTTGGTGGCTACATTTGAATGAGAGGGAAATATATTTTGAAGGACCCATTTTCGGATTTGGGGTTGGAAGATGTATATTAGTATATACTATATAGCTTGGCTTGGAATCTTGTTTAGTCTTCCATTTGGTAGATTGAGACATCCAAGGTTATTACCCTAAACTCCTCTTGTGTTTTTGGAGAAAATGCATGAGATTAGGGTTTTTAAATTGGGATTTGATGGTATGGATAGTTAGAGAGTGATTTGGATATAGCTTTTTTTTGTTAAATATGTTTAGGATTGCTTCTTGATGAAAGACAAAAAAAAGAATTCATTGTTTCACTCACTATAGAAAATTATGGTTTTTGACTATATGTCAATTTCAAAAATTAAATGATATAAGTAGTTGGAGGGTGATTTGTAGGTGAGTCCCTTTGTTAAACATGCTAGGGATTGGTTCCCGCAAAAGAAAAAATTATGAAATCGCTATTTAGAATATTTTGATAAATTGGACTAAAAATCAAGTGTATGTGTCTTGTATGTATAGTCTTAAAAATTGAATGTGGTAGATTAGTATATATGTACTGATTGTCTTCACATATTTGGAATATGATGTGATATTGTGATAGATTATGATTGTGACCCCTTGGATACAAGAAGTGCATTGGAGGACAGTGCTTGACAGGTAAACTTTCAGTCCTTGGGGCTAATCCCCCTTTTGTTCCACCAAACTCTAAGGGAGGGTGATAGTTTGATATTGTATGTTGAAAATGATTTGTTATATGTTGCATTTATATGTATGTATGTCAGTGTGCTACACAAGATGGTGTTTCCTTGTGTGAGGCATAAGACCGTGTTTTCTTGTGCATAGTATGAGACGGTGTTTCCTCGTACGGTATGTTACAAGACGGTGTCTCCATGCATAATGCATACTTGTTATATTCTCTGGCCAGTAGGATTTACTATTTGCACACTGCATTGTCATACATATTCTGATGCATGCATGGATATTTTATGTACTATTATTATACTAGAAGTGAGCTTAGGGGTGGAGGAGCCCTCCAAGGGTCCCTAGCTTACTGAGATAATTATATTATCTCACTCCGCGTTATGGGGATTACCATTTCAGGTACAAGAGCTGAGAGTGAAGAGGCATCGCGTGGCAAGAAGGCATATGAGAGATATTGTAACATCCCGGGTGCTGACGAGGGCGGGGAGTGATCGCTGGTGCGAAAGGGCATGGACAAGGAGCGGCTCTTGGCAGGCTTCCAGCGACGCGGTACATGAATGAATCGAATCAACACCCGAAAGAGAGGGATTCCAGAGACTGTGTTGGTATGAGACGGTACAGTTGGGAATAGCTTATAAGAATTAATTGGTACTACCTATACTAACAAGATGCATCTGCTTTTCAGTAGCCCAGAACGGAAGAACTCCATAGTTAAACGTGTTTGACGTGGAGCAATTCTGGGATGGGTGACCTCCTGGGAAGTTTTCCCAGGAAGTGTGCAAGTGAAGAAAAAGCACACTGAAAAGTCTCGTGTTAGTGTGAGGGGATAGTCGTTAATCCTTGCAAGTTGTTAGGCGTTACAAGTGGTATCAGAGCAGAGCCTCTCTTCTAGTATAGTGTGGTTCGAGGACGAACCAAGCGAAAGCTGGTGGGCATGTAACATCCCGGGCGCTGGGGAGGGCGGGGAGTGATCGCCGGTGCGAAAGGGCATGGACAAGGAGAGGCTCCTGGAAGGCTTCCAGCGACGGGGTACATGAATGAATCGAATCAACACTCGAAAGAGAGGGATTCCAGAGACTGTGCTGGTATGTGACGGTACAATTGGGAATAGCTTATAAGAATTAATTGGTACTACCTATACTAACAAGATGCATCTGCTTTTCGGTAGCCCGGAACGGAAGAACTCCATAGTTAAGTGTGCTTGACTTGGAGCAATTCTGGGATGGGTGATCTTCTGGGAAGTGTACAAGTGAGGAAAAAGCACACTGAAAAGTCTCGTGTTAGTGTGTGGGGATAGTCGTTAGTCCTTGCAAGTTGCCAGGGGTTACAGATATTACCTGATATGATAGTCAGATTAGCTTATTATTTTGATATATACTTGACATGATCTTATTTTGGATATGTATACATACCATGTTATTCTTTTGGAAAGCGTAGGGAGTGTCTATGCCATGTCGATAGTCTGTATATGTTGTTAGTGATGCATGCTCAGGTATATGTTACTTATTTAATTGCTTCTCTTTTGTTTATTTGATGTAATTATATAAGTAACATCATGGACATTATTTTGAGACAGCCTAGGCCATAGATGACTGGGCAATATGTTTTATTTATGTTGTGGTATGCCTGGATTATATTAAACTGTCAATCAGGTTGAAATTATCATGTGGGAATTATCCCCAGTGGTCCAAATGCAGACGAAATACTGTCCATTTTATTTTGGCCATGGAAGTGAAGAAGTTTGCAATACATAAGGAAAAAGCAAAAATGTATTCATTTAGCTTCCGCATTAATTAAGTTGAGTATGCTGCGCTTACTATCATATGAATGTTGATTAACCGGCTGCAGACGGGGCGTTACACGAAGTCTTCCCATTTTCTGCCAATGAAGGTGATTTTTACTACAGAACAGTTGGCTCGATTTTATTTGAAGGAGATAGTGAGACTTCATAGGGTGCCTGAGAGTATTGTGACCGATCGGGACTCGAAGTTCACATCTCGCTTCTGGGGAGCACTGCAACAGGCTTTCGGCACTCAGTTGAGACTGAACACAGCTTATCACCCTCAGACTGATGGTCAGACAAAGAAGACTATTCAGACCCTGGAGGATATGCTGAGAGCCTGTGCTCTAGAGCAGGTACAACATGGGATATATACCTTCCACTGTTAGAATTCTCGTACAATAATAGTTTCCATTCCAGTTTGGGCATGACACCATATGAGGCATTGTATGGTCGGATATGTAGATCACCCACTTGTTGGACTAAGGTTGGAGAGGGGCAAATGATTGGGCCATACTTGGTACATGACATTTCTAATTAGATCAGAATGATCAGAGATAAATTGAAACAGGCACAGAGTTGTCAGAAGAGCTATTATGATCACAAGCATCGACCTTTGGAGTTTGCAGAGGGTGAACATGTCTTTGTGAGGTTGTCACCTGTGACAGGTGTGGGGCGTGCTCTTAGAGTAAGGAAGTTGAGTCCCAGGTTTATCGGTCCCTATCAGATAATCAAGAGGGTGGGACCCATTGCTTATCAGCTTTCCTTGCCTCCACAGTTAGCTAGTATTCATGTCGTGTTCCAGTTTCGGAGATATGTTCGGGATGAGTCCCATGTTGTGCAGCCTGACGAGATTCAGATACAAGAGAATTTATAGACTCCTGTAGGGCCATGGAATATTCTTGACAGAGATGAAAGGAAGTTGAGAAACAAGTCAATTCCTATGATTAAGATTCAATAGGAAGGTAGGACGCCTGAGAAGGCTACTTGGGAGCGTGAGGATGAGATCCTCCGACAATATCATGAGTTTATTTTCAGGTATAACCCTAAAAAGGTGGGGTGAGTATAATAACTCTCACATGTAATTGTGGATTAATGATTTTATCATAATATTGAAGAATAATTAGAGGAAAAGTATAAGAAAAAGAAATAAATTCACTACGGTGAAAAAGTATTAAAAATGACAGTTAAGGGGGTAAAAATGTGGATAAGCAAAGTTACCTGAAAGTTAAAAGTAAAATAGTAAATATTACCACAAAAATATTGTAGATCAATGAGTAAAGTTGGATTGAGAGATCAGTGAGCGAGATTGATAAGCTTATATCCGCTAGGTTAGTTGAAACCACTTAAGTACCATAACACACCTTAATTCTTCTTCTTCTTGCTGCAAACCGACAACATTTGAGAAAGAAGATGGTATTTTATTATTTCAAACTTCATCTTTTGATAACTTGAGGTAAAATTGGTGAAATTCATCCATTCCAAAGCCTAAAGTGTGTCAAATTTCATCCTCTATAAAACCCATAACTTAGTTATAGTTGAGAGTCACTATATTAAGAGATACCTCATCCTTCCCATTTCAAAAATTTGAATGAGTTTGGAGTTTTGGGAGTTTTAGAATGCATTGGAGCTTGGGCTTTGCTTCCTCTTGCATTCTAAGGTCATTCATGGTAAATTTCTACCCTTTTACACACATTTCTATGAATTTTCATGAATCCTAGGTCACCAATGAATAGTGATCCGAAAATAGGAATTTTGGAGATGTTGATGTGTTGTCTTGTTGTTTCTTTGATGTTTGTGGTATAGGATTGAGCAAGGAGACCCAATAGTTGAGGAGGATCCATTGGAGGTGTCATTGGATTGAGAAACCTAATTTTTCTCTAAATTTACAAAGAGGGCAAGTGATTAATGTTGAGATAATGAATGATATAGTGTGTTTGAGTAGTTGTCTAGCCATGGACTTAATTATTGTGTGTGTATTAAATGATGAACACATCTCTTGCCTTGACTATAGGTTGACTTGGTGTGATTTAGAGGTTGTGTTATTGAGAAAGCAAAGAAAGTAAAAAGTGGGACATTACTTAAGATAGGGAAACCTTAAGAAAATAATATGGGTCCTTGTTTAATGAGTTTAAGCACGGATTAAATGAATAGACAAAAGAGAATATCGATTTGAATGTGGTAGATTAGTTCATACACTAATTATCTTCACATCTCTGAAATAGGCTGTGAGATTGGAAGAGATTGTGATCTCTTGGATACGAGGACTATATTGGAGGACGTTGCTTCACAGGTAAGCTTTCGATCCTTGGGTTTAATTCCCGGTTTGTTCCACCAGACTCCGAGGGAGGATGGTTCTTTGATATAGTATGGTGAAAATGATTTGTTATATGTTACATGTATATGTATGTATGTTTGTGTGTCACACAAGACGGTGTTTTCTTGTGTGGGACATAAGACGATGTTTCCTTATGCATAATATGAGACGATGTTTGCTCATACGGTATGTTGCAAGACGGTGTTTCCTTGCGTAATGCATACTTGTTATATTCTCTGGCCTCTAGGATTTATTATATATATGTTACATTGATATACATGTTCTGATGCATGCATGTATTTTATATTGTGGTTATACCAGAAGTGAGCTTAGGGGTGGAGAAGCCCTACAAGGATCCCTAGCTTACTGACGTAATTATATTATCTCACCCTGCGTTGTGGGATTACCATTTCAGGTACAAGAGCTGATGGTGCTGAGGCATCGCGTGGCAAGAGGCCTAAGGAGAGATATTACCTGAACTGATAGTCAGGGTTAGTTGTTATTTTTGCATGTACATTACATGTTATTATTTTGAGTTGTACATGCCATGTATTCTTTTTTATGAATATAGGAGATGTCTATGCCATGTTGATAGTTTATCTATTTTGTTAGTTATGTGTGCATATGCCTCAGTTACTTATTTAATTACATCTCTTTTGGTTGGTTGATGTAATCATGTAAGTAGCTTTATGGACATTATTTTGAGACTTGTTATGTGTATGGGATAGCCTATACCATTGATGGCTGGGTAATATGATTTATGCTTGGATTATATTAAACTGTCAATCTAGTTGAAATTATCATAGTGGGGATTATCCCCAGTGGTTCAAAATACAGATAAAATGTTGCCCGTTTTATTTTGACCAAAGAAGCGATAAAAATTATAATACATACGGAAAAGGAAAAAGTTAACCAGTTAATTTCTGCATTTATTAAATTTAAAATTTGCTGCGCTAAATATTATATAAATGCTAATCAGACATGATGTTACAATTTGCAATACTAACATTGTTCAAGCATGGCTGCTTTTATTATTGTCTTTTCCATTATACAAACACAACTTCATTCATTAATGCCAAACATGAAAGCATCCAACCAAATACACAAGGTAAACAATACATCGGTAGATGAAGGAATCCGATCCTTCTATTCCACTTTTTATTGAAAAAGAGGTGCGGTGCTTCAGTAACCATAGACCCTTTAGATAGAGATACTGTTGGGAATTCCTCTGAAAGTCAATCCTTCCTCACTAGATGGATAAAGCAAAGTGTAAGGCATTTTAGCAGGCCCATAGCGGTTTCTCAGTGTCTCATCATTGTTCTTCTGTGTGAGTTTTTGTTCAATATCAGCAAGCTTCTTTCCGAACCTCTTAAAGGCCTCTAATGGCTCAGTATCAGAAGTCCAGTAGTCACCACCATCTCTCTCCCCAAGGTAGAACTCATCAGAAGCATGCCTTGACAAGATTTCAATAACCGTAAGGTCAATAAGTGTCTCTTTCTTCCCAGTAATTGTCATCAAAAACTCCTTCTCAGGGTTCTTAGCCAACTCCTTATACTCAGTGGACCCTTTCTCAGGCATGAACCTCCTGCTAAGAGTTGGCCGGTTAAGGATGTAACCTCCATATGGATACTGTCCAAAATTAACAGCTGCATGAAGGGCTGAAGCAGTCCATATGAGGGTGGTGGAAGCTTCAATCAACTCTTCACGAGTTTGCATCTTTGGCCACCATGTCTCATTTTTCTTGTCACCATGACCCACTTCTACAAGTTCTTTCCACCAAGCTTGGAGTTCAGAATCTTTTTTAAGAGCATCATCGGACTTGTAGTAGTACAAGACATATTCTTGAACCCATGACTTAATAGCAGCCCATATCTCCAGTCCATCAGAAGCATAAGGGTAATCCTCAATCAAAAGGCGAACCCCATGTGGAGAAGATGGATCCTTAACAGCCACTCCTATGAATTACAAGTAACCAAATACCATTAAAATCAGAGTTATTGGAAGCCTTTTTTGATTAATAACTAAATTTAGAATCCTATCTTTCTAAGCGGTATATATTTAGTTGTAAGTAATTTAATTTAAAAAGATTACCTCTTGACAAGATCAGCAGGTAGTGCCTGATCTGGAAAAACCCAGTCCTTATAAATCACTGCGGACATTTCCAAAGAATACCTACCCCACAAGAATGTTTTCTCTATAATACCATCTGCATTGACCAGGGCTTTTCTTGCAAGTGAATTTATATTCATGGTGTCACGATAGTGAGGGAACAAAAGTTTATAAACAGGGTGAACCACACTCAGATGCCTATTTGTTGCTATGATGAAGGGCACAACAACTGCATGAGTGTTTAACCTGCCATCCATGTAAATATATTAATCATTTACTCATAAATACACTAACTAAATTTAATTGTATAGATCTCATTGACAATTTCATACCAATGGCTAATAAGTTGATGATAGCAGGAGTCATTTACAACAACATAAGCCTTTGCCAGTAACCATATATAAGCTTCAACTCCTTCGTAGGCAGGCACATAAACATTACTAACAGGACCATGTTCTTCTCCTTGAGGATGTGGCTTACTTAACTCAATGGCCAATGGCTTCAATGTTCCATCATCATTCAAGAAAAAAATGGTTCTTGTAGCATAAGCCTTTGTGGTAGTTGCATTTATTCTCCTCAAATATGGAATGAGATAGTCATGGTGATCCAATATGAACAATTTCTTGTTCTGGATAGCCTGTTCAACCAAGTATAATTAATTGATTGCTATTCATTGGAATCACATTAAAGGAAAACATACGAATTTGTTGAAAGCAATTACAGAAATATATATTCTAACAAAATTTTAATATGAAACTATGAAACTAAAAACTCCTATAATTACCTGTTCAACTGTGACCCCACCTAAGTTGGGCTCTAAGTATTCTTTTGTTATTATACAGGTATGATCACCATAGGCTTGGCTGTTTAGCTTGCTACGTGGTGGGAACTCCTGGAATAAATTTAGAGGTTATCAATCACAAATTTAACATGAAAAACGAATCCAAGCTTTTGATTGCATTTAATTTCTTGACAATTAACTCTTAATTAAGCTTACCTCAAGAATCTTAATGATGTTAGGATTTACACCAGCAAGCGTTTCTCTTGCAAATTCTTCATCAGTCATCCATGCAGACTTATCCACTGCATCAAATAAGAACAGTTCAAAAATCCATCAGCTTTTCCACCTTATTGAATGTATGGAAATAGGAGTATGTAGCTAAAAGATTTTGTTTTGGTATATATTCAAGATATGTAGCACACCTTGAATCACTTTTGGTGGTGGATACTTGAGGAACTGTTCCCCATCAGTTCTTAGAATTTCCTTGAGCACTGGTAAAGGGGAAATCCTGCTAAGAAAGTTTGTAGGTAGCGTAATTCCTCCTTCATAAAGTTTACTCACTTCAGCAAAGTTATCAAACTCCAGAGTCAAGACATTTCCATCGAATGCATCTGTCAACACAGGTAAGACATCTTGGGATACAGATTTTAGTCCATACATGAGAAAGTCTGATGACTTCAAGTGACCAAATGCTTCATCTCTTGGAATGTAAACAAAATCGCCCGGTTTCTCACTCTGAGGATCTGTTAAGATGATAGCAGAATATGTATTAGCAACAAGAATTTTAGGATTCTAACAGAATAACTGTTTTAAGGTTCACAAAACACATTTTTCACTCCAAAAAAAGTCTCTATGCACGTGACGTTAAAATGTTGGGCTGGGGACACGGGAATCCAAAATAAGAGAGATTATATATATCAAATGAGTCTAAGCGATAAATTCACAACAAATGGGTCTTTTCGATTTATTTGTAATCAAAGTGAGACTTCAACACTACTCACACTTTAATTCAAAATAGAGAGAGATTACCAACAACATATCAAATAGACTTAAGCGACAAACCATAAGAATAAAGTCTTTTCTCTTGGTTCATTTTTAATGAACGTGAGACTTCACAACTACTCACATTTTAACCCAAAATATGGAAGACATTACTAACCACACATCAAATGGACTTAAACGACAAATCCATAATGGGAGGATTTATGGGTTTATTCGTTGTTATATGATTTTTGGATCTATTCTCAATTATATGATCTTCACTTGGTTTATTTCTAAGTGAGGTGAGACTTCACCACTAATCATACTTTAATATTTCCTTTGAATTAGTCATGCTATTATTGCTCACTAGAAAAGTATATCAATACTTCAAATTGAAACTGAAATATGTCTATCTTCTCATGTTGAACTCCACGAACCCAAACACTATTCATTCATGATTATACTGCAGCTTAACATTTTCCTAATTTAGTTATTCAAAAACCAAAACTTAAAATATCACAGATATTGGCTAAAACCTGAATTGAATTTCAGATGGAACAATAAAAAATTAAATTAAAAAGTCATAACCTTTCTTAGTTGCACTTCTTCCGGTTCTTCCTCTGCGAGGGTATGGTAAGGTAGAACCTCCAAGAACAGGGCGAGCGTACTTTTCTCCACTATCTGGATTGCCAAGATCATTGTAGACATCATAATCATAGATCCTATCATATTCTGTGCGCTCTCCAGTTCCATCTCCTCTTAAATACTCCAATTCTTCTTCTCTGTACTTGACAAGTGGTGCTGGTGTGTCACTTGGAAGATATGTCTGCATTAAATGCAGTAAAGTTCAAGATTTAGCAGAATGAACAATAAACAGTACACATCACAAAAAAAACTGAACTAAGTTATGACAATGTTGATAACACAGTATTTATATATTATAAATATTTTTGCAAGGTAAATAATATACCTTGTTGGCAAAGAAAATACGATCATGCTTGTAACATTTTGAATTGTAAACCCAGGAGTTGCATACAAAGTGGATGGTTCCCTGGTTTGGAATGTCTTCAAGAGTGAGACTCTTAAGGTAGAACTCAACTTGCATATAGTTCTTTATGTAAAATGCACCAGGAATTCCCATGTCATCGTCCCATTCAAAATGAAGATTGAATGCAGATTCACCAGCTCCCAAGGTCGGTAATGAAGTAATAATACCTTCCGGATATGTAGCCTTTCCAACTTTACCTTTCCCCGTTCCTATAAAATTTCACACAAAATTTAATTCAAATATATATTTAGTCTATCGGCAAGGATATTCTTACCAAGAGTTAGAAGTCTTAGATTTAATTTTGATTATTGATTCACTTGTATCCAAACGATTCACATTATTAAAAAATTAGAGCCCTTAGATATAAGTGGACTCAAAAGTCAAGATTGAGAATGTAACTTATACCAGTATAAAATGATCTAACCTATAGTAGAGCAAGATATTCTTACACCGATGTAAGAATTAGAAGTCTTACACTTAAGTAGGCCTTGTTAAAATATTTACAAAAAAAAAAGTCATTTAATCGATAACTTAGGATATATGTCTTAAGAAAAAATCATGAATTTCATTTATAAGATAAATAAATAAAGTCATTGAAAACTAGTTGCTATTCATTATTCTGTTGGATGAATCAAGTTTTGAGATGTCATTCGTAGTGCTTGAAGAAAAATGAGTTAAGAAAGTGAAAGAAAGAAGTAACCATCACCATCAGGCTTGGTGGCACTGATCAACTGAAAGGAGATGTTGTGGCCCAAGAAAGCAGTAAGGCCATCGACTAAAGAGCCAGCGAAGTTGAGGCCAGTTCCGATGATCCCTCCAACACTAGTGAGGCTATTTATATCCAACACATTCTTCCGCATCAACACCATTGTCCCCTTTATCTTACTACCCCTGTTTACAAGACTTGTGACTCCTGAAAACATCTTTTCTTTCTTACCAAAACTATACACTCTTTTGCCAAAGGGGGAGAAGAGGGTGTGCCTTGTGAATAAACCAACCACGAATGCTTACTATTTATAGAAGAAGAAGAATTGTGAGAATGATTATCCAATGGTGTTCGCGGTCTGGATTGGATCGGTTTTAGAAATAAAAATCATCTGATCCAATCCCTTTGGTTTAATTATGTAATCATCCATTCTGTTTGAATTTTTTTTCAAATCCGATCCGATCCAATCCAATTTTATTCGATTTGGATTCGATTGGTTTTCGATTTTTTGAAAAATCTAAAATTTGTATGATGATTATTTGGCAAATAACATATCTTTTATATGTATCGGCTTTGTAAAGTTTGTATGATGATTATTGTGCAATCTAGAAGCATTGTACAACAAAAAGTTAAATTATCATCTTTTACTTTCAACAAAAAATTTATAATATGGTTGTCTGATATACGAAGTAACCGAATTTTCATCCTATAGAGGAGCTACTGTACAACAATAACCTATGTAATAAAAATATATTATGTATCTTACAAAAAAAAGCATTATATGGATCAAGCACAACCCATTTTCTCCAACATGATGGGTTAATGGGTCTTGGATTTAGAATTTTGATATATGGTTTTTAGGCTATTATTGGGAAAGGCCAAAGTAAGTAGATGATAAGGTTGGGGAATAATTGGATTGGTTTGGATTGGATCGGATCGGTTTTCACCAATCCATCCAAAATCCGATCCAATCCAATTAAATTTTGCGGTTTTTTTTTCGATTTTTGGTTTTTCGGTTTTCGGTTTTTCGGTTCGGTCACTGCGGTTTGAATCGATTTGGATCGGTTGATGAACACCCCTAGTTCAAAGTAGGTACGTGCAAAATAACAGTAGAAGTTAATTCAATTCAACAGACCTGAATTGTATTTTTCTAAAATAATTATGAGAATTTAACTGGTTTTATGAACCAAATTAAAAATTAATCCGAATTAAAAGAACGAGGAATTACAACCTGTTTTTGTTTACAATCTCTTACAACCATATCTTAACACCGTTGATTTTCGTCATTATTTTCTCAAATTAAACTCATTAATTAATTATTAATTCAAAATAAATGATAACCGTTGATTGACGAAAATCAACGGTTAAAATATAGTTGTTAGAGATTTTAAACGAAAATAGGTTGTAAGTATAACCTTCCTCTAAAAGAATTGGTTTGGAAAATCATAATGAGTTTGAATATCCCAACCGGTTTTGAAACATAAACCGATTTTAAATTGGTTTTAAATCAATTTAAAAAATATTAAAAAATAATTCAATTCGATTTGGCAAAAACGGTTCGAGCCGAATCACTGTTACCCTCAAAGGATTTTATTTTATTTTATTTTATTTTTATTTTTCTGAGATACTAATTTCTTCTATATCTAGAACAGTACTGAAAGTATTTTCTTAAGACAGGTTCTACACGATATATGAAAAGGTGGATTTTTATGAAATTATTATATTTTTTTAATAAAAAAAATATTTTTTAAAAATAATTTACCAGCCTAAGACAATTTGTAAACATATATAAAATGTTATTTTACATATCACGTCACTGTGAAATGGCGCATTCACCTAAAAAAAAACATGTACATGTATGTAGCCTGTGTGCCATGTAGCAATAATTGGCTTGGAGGAGGAGCTCACGGATCAAGTTCTAATATGCGTTCAATCTCTTTTGTCATGTTCAAGCAATGTGATGTCTTTGTCTCGAAGCGCAACGAATGAAAATATCTCATGCTATTTATGTAAACGAAAGAAGATCATCAATAAAGTATAACCTTTCTAAGTTGTCATTATCAATAATAAAAAAACATAAACACCAGTAAATAATTTAAGTAAAGGAATGAACTAAAGTTAGAAATTCTTTCTTATGTTGTTTTACTTATCAGGCTATCAATCTTTGCAACTCCCCTCGTTACTAATCCACCACCTTCTTTGCAACGCAAATCATTTCATATGCTCTAAGTTTGATGATAACAGTCATAATGAGGATAATTTGTAATAACAAAGATGTTTCTCGCCCCAAATCTCTATTAAATGTTAATGTGAACGTGTTCAATCTTACACATTCTTACCTCGCATAGTAATGTCATGCAAATAGTCAAGCTGTGAAGTGAAGGAGTACGTGGAATATGATGTCCCATCCTGAACCGACACGCGATCAAGCTGTTGCCCACTTAACGATATCATATGTAAAAAATGAAATAAAATAATGATGATGCTAATAACAATTAGTGGATTAACATTAATTAATTTTATTTTACAAGACAATCTTGTCTCTCCTGGTTTAAGCGTTCCAACTTTATTGCTGAAGTGTTTTTGTTTATGTCTTGATCTAATGAAGGATAAGTTATCGATCCACTACATAGGCTTTTTGACCCTTATAACCTTTTATTAATAATTAATTACCAAATTGACCTTCATTATAAACTATTTCAAAAATTTAACCCCCTCAAAAAACATAACACCAATCTGCCCATGTTTGACCGTTGACCACCAAGCCTACCCGGGTACACCCCTCCCTACCCGGGTATTTTTTGAAATTTTTTGTCTACCCGGGTAGGGAGGGGTGTACCCGGATAATTTTCTTGACACCTGCGAAATTGCTTGAATTATTTACCCGGGTACAGAGGGGTGTACCCGGGTAAATCTACATAAAGTGGTTGGGATATCCCTTTGGCGTTATTATGCCGATTGTCGAGGCATTCAGTGTGTAATCTTTTGTAAATAATTCAAGCAATGAGGGCAACAGCAGCCACAGCAAAGGCCATCACCCTAAGGAAACTCACTGCAGGCCTTGCTGATGAGAGGGGAAGGATTCAGACAAACATACCAGGGAGCTCTGGCTATAAATCTTTCAATATCAGATGAAGCCAAATTGTTCAGCCAAGCTCCCTCTCTTCTGTCACAGCCAAGGCATTTAATAAAGACCACTTTGAATGTTTACCAGAACAAGAATTTAACTCATTAAAAATTCTAACATCCAAAGGTGGTGTGTCTTATGCTATGTAAGCTAGTTCCCCTGGAACTCTATGTTTACCTATTTAGTGAGTGTCTTTTGTTTCTGTGTGCCTTACTATAAGCGTTCCATGAATGCACCTACGAACGTTGTACCCTTATCTTCCACTGGATTAGAATAAAAAGCATTTGCTTATTTCGGCTCACATCTCAATCTAAGAAAGCCATTAGAAAGAATCCATAGTGTGAGATAAGAATTCCAAATCTTTCATGAACATTTGTAAGAAAGTTACTCTTTGCAGTCATATTTTCGACAGAGACTTTTGTTTCTATAGAACAAATAAGCTTAGAAAGTCACATCCTATTTTGCACTCGCTTGAGAGTAGCTACAACATCTTGTATATGAAGTAATTGTATTTCATTATCTGATACATTCGTGTTATGCAAATATAAAATATTAAAGTTATAAGTGGCAGTCCAAAAAAGTTGAGGTCATGGGCAAACAATGGTCAAACAATTATCACCAAGAAATAAAAATAAAAAATGGTGATCTTACAATTTTATCTAGATCTGAGTGAGTTAATTATGAACGAAGAGGATTCACAAAGGAAGCAATCTACCCAGGAGGAAAAGATCCACTCCTTCAATGTTCAAAATCTAAACCAGAAACACTCTTTCAATAACGCCAAAGCCAACCACTTTATGTAGATTTACCCGGGTACACCCCTCCGTACCCGGGTAAATAATTCAAGCAATTTCGCAGGTGTCAAGAAAAATACCCGGGTACACCCCTCCATACCCGGGTAAACAAAAAATTTCAAAAAATACCCGGGTAGGGAGGGGTGTACCCGGGTAGGCTTGGTGGTCAACGGTCAAACAGGGGCAGATTGGTGTTATGTTTTTTGAGGGGGTTAAATTTTTGAAATAGTTTATAATGAAGGTCAATTTGGTAATTAATTATTAATAAAAGGTTATAAGGGTCAAAAAGCCCCACTACATATCATCATAAATATTAAATTGATATTAATAACTAAGCAATCATTGTCTAAATGATCAATAGTAGGGTTGTGCATGGTCAGGCCCCGTCGGGTTTTTGTGTCGACCCAACCCAACTTGATTTTATAGGTCAAGTATTTTGACCCGACTCAGTTTAATTTGATCCAAGTCAGGTTTGACCATGTTTGAATTTTTTTTGAACTGGTTCAGAAGTGGATCAAATCTGACCTGACTTGGTTTCCGAAATGGGTCTGACTTGGTTTCAAAATCGGATCAAATCCTACCTGACCCACTTTTGACTTGGTTTCAAAACTTGTTATTTATTTGATTTTTTTATAGTTATTGATTTAATTTTTAAACTCAAGTAATTTAATTATTTATTTGTTTTAAAATATATAAATTATATAATAAATTTGATATTTGTTGAATAAATACCAATTCTTCAAAAAAAAGTGCTAGTATTACTATTCCATGGTACTAATTAGTGTCATGGGTAGCTCATTCTAACTCATAATTGATATTTGCAATTAGCAATTATCATGATTTTGTTGGATCACCAAAAAGCTCTAAATTGATGATAAATTACAAAAAAAAATCCAAACATAAAATTATCCCATAAAATATCAGCGTAAGGATTCCATTTACTCAATGTAAGAAATTAAAATTAACAGATATTTACGAATAATTTTTATAGTATGACTAACTCTTATTTAATCAACACTAGTGTCTGCAATCTATCTCATTTCTTGACTATCTCATGGAATCTTGGAGGCTTATAGCACATAAAATCTTCAGGTAGACAGAATAACTATTATCCTGTCACATATTGTATCAAAATCAAAGCCTGTGAATTTGTAATCCTTACGGATTCAAAGTCACTAGATCATAGATATATTTTCACATTGATCTCCAATCACTCATTTAATATGATCCAATTTCTCTCTCTACCATATCTGTGATAGTACTACTAAAATTTAGAATACACAAGTTACCTTGGCT